TGTTGTTTCTGAACATTTTTGTTGTTGTTATCAAGAGTTAAACTCAGGACCTTGTGCTTGCCAGGCAGCCTCTGTGCCATTGAACTATATCCTCATCCCTTAGTTGTTGTTTTGCTTATTTTCCAAGGAATTGGAAAGAAATATTAAAACTTTTTTGTTTGTTTGTTTGTTTGTTTTGAGACAGAGTCTCACTATGCAGTTCAGGCTGGCCTTCAGCCCACTTTGTAGCCCAGGCCAACCTCAAACTTACAATGGTCCTCCTTCCTCAGACTCTTGAATGCTGGGATTAGAGGCATGCACCACCGTTCCCAGCTGGAACCTATAACTTTGTGTGGATATTGAAGTTCTGCTCCTGCTGGTGTTGACTGAAAGTAGGACTGCTGTCTTCTCACTAGCAGGAAATGATTTGATTTTATTTTAAATCTCCCAGCTTCTGAGCTGAGAGATAAGGAGATAAAAAAGGAAAAGTATGAGGGAATATAGTGACTGATAGATCAAACCTCTGAGGCCAATTTTAACTAGTTGAATTTTCCCACTGGAGCCAATGGGTGAATTTTCAGGGGCAAAACATAACATCTTTCCTCATCTCCCAAAGTGCTGCACATCCAAGAAGGTTAGATCCCTTTCAAAAAGGGTTTCTGAGACAGCACAAATGGCTGGCACCATGCTGGCTAAATAGTGCATGGGCTCCTTTGGTTTCCCAGGATTTGTACACAGCTCGGGTGAGACTACAGTATACGATGGACTTGAATGGAGGTGGCACATCACTCGCAGGCTGTGAGCCAGTGTGCATCCTGCCCCTCCGTCTTTGCCGCAGCAATACTGGAGGGCACATGGTCTAGTGAGCCCATCCACACAGCCCTATCACCCACCCCAGTGGCCCCTGGTAAATAGGAAATGCCAAAAGAAAGAAGAGCTTGATGCGGTGTCACTGCAAGTCCTGGGTCTGTACTTAGCAGTATTTGCTGGGTTAGGAACCAGAGTACAAGATGAAGCAGCCTCATTCTTTTTCTCCTGTTACTTTGTCTTTTGACTCAACTCCTGTACAGCCTCACAACATAATCAGAAAGGTGTAAGTTTAAGTCACTGAGTATTTGTAGAATGAGAAAGATGTCTTCTCCTATTGGAGTTTTCACTTTTAAGTGATGGTTATAGGTCATTAGAGATATTATCAGTTGCCACTGAGTTATTAGCTATAATTAAAAGTAGCCTCAATATAAGCAAATAACTCATACTAAGAAGAGATGAACAAGCAAAACTCATCATTTAGCTTCAAAGTTAATCAAAGTTTAACATGAGATCAAAATGTTTCAATAAATCATTAAATCATGTAATCCATCTTAAGACTGATTTCAATATTGGATTATAAACTATTTGAATAGTAATATAGGGTATAGTAGGTACATCCATAAGTATATAGTTTTGTTTGTTTAACCATAAACAATTCTCTAGTTCCTGTGTGTGATGATTAATTGTCAACTTGAATGGATTAAGAGCTGCCCCGTGGATTAGTGGCGCATAGTTCTGGGTGTATCTGGATGATTGCCTTGTAAGCTGAAAACTGAGAAGGGAAGACACCCTAGATGGGCGTGGCATTCTCCAGTGGTTTGGATGGAATAAAAAGAGAAAGAAAGAAATCTACCCTTTGGCCTTTTCAGAGGTTCTGGTCTTTGCCGTCCTCTCTGGACATTCTTCTCCAGTACAGTAGACACTTCAGCTTTCCCACACAGATGCTTGCTGACTGAGCAGTGCGCTTCAGGTCTGTGACTCTCAAGTGGAGCTCCCAGCTCTCCAGAACGTTAGCTGGGAACCACCAGCAGCCTGCTTTGTAAGTGTTTTCTTCTATTACGTTGTATCTGTTCCTGTAGTGAATCCTCACTGATACATTGTGTTTATTTTTCCCATTCAACTTCAAAACTAGGAGATGGCAGAAGCGTTAAAAGCATCTTTTCCATAAATCATTGAACCAAAACATTTCAGTTAAACCACCTCTGAAAATCCAGTCTTTGAAACTATCAAATACCACAGTTTGGGTTACGATTCCCCTACAGGTTCAAGACAGTTGAAGACAAAAGTCCTTCAGGGTTGTGACCAACATGGGTACTGGAGATCAGAAAAGAAAATGTATTTGATAGTGCTCTTTATTATTTGGGAGGAGTCTCTTTTGCTTCTGTACATCTTGTGAGATGATAGAGAGGATACTTCCCAGCATATACAATGCTGCTATGATCTGAAAGGTACTTTTTCACCTTCAAAACAATCTGCAGGGACCACAGTTCTTATTTTATATATAGGGATCACTAGTACCTGTTCATGATCTCACTGGAGGCCAAATGAATTTTCCTGATTTCAGTCCCAGGGGCAGCAACATCTCACAGAGCATCACACTGTATTACTCTGACTTGACCTGGACAGGAAGAAGCAAGTTCCTTGGATGAGCTAGTGGAAGAGAAGTTGAGCTAGTGGAAGAGAAAACCTTAGTCCAGGGATCATCCAGCAGCCAGCCAGGAAAAAAGTCACTCCATTGACTGAGGACCAAGAAACCAATTTATGAGCTGCTGGTACAGATGTTGTGCTGAAAAATTAAAGTGAGTCCCTCAAAATTCCCCTCCCCAAATAGACAGGCTTCAGAGAGTAGTTATCTACTCCACAGGAGATGTTGAGGTTAGGAAAGTCTAGGACTTGCTGTGCCCAGTGGGTGCTGCACCTCAGGAGCTCAGAGGAGGTGTCCCGGAGGAAATTCAGGTTTTTGGATGTGTGAGAAGGGCAAATACTTGGTAGTTACTAAAATCTCTGAGAGAGCATGATGAAACCTGCTAGTAGTGCTAAAAAAAGAGACTAGAACAAGCATTCAGTGCCAGTGAGGCTTTGTTGCTCTGGTGACGCAGGAATGGGCAACAAGCAAAAAGAAACAGCAAACCTCTCCTCTCTTCCTCCCGCCTGCTGGTTTTTCTCTTTAGTCTCAGCTATTAGCAGAACTTATTAAAATCCTTATCAAAGGAAACATTACATTGCATAATTCCAGCTCCACCACCAGAGACCATAGATGCGAGTATTTACATCAGAGATAAATTACTTAAAAACACATTTGTAGGAAAATGTTCTCACTCTGTATTTGCTCACATTGGTCATTCTGTATGGAATTATCCACATCCCTTTTATGTTCATCTCAGAAACAATTTTAGAAACATCTATACTTAATAAGCACACTATCCAGCATGTTACTCTCAGTCCTTTAGAACTCATTTTCTTAATCCTCACAGCAATGCTGTAAGGTTTTTAATAATTATTTCCATGCTTTAAGAATAAGGAGAGCTAAGCAACTTACCCAAAATCACACATATAGAGCCAGTCCTTCAAAGGCCATGTCCTAACCAATTCAAAATTCTGCCTTTGAAGAGCAAATTCAAAGGCCAACTCTCGTGAGAGAGTTCTAGGCATCTAGGCTTCCACATTGTTGGCTGCACCCTTGTTCTAGCACCTTCTTACCATGGTGAGATTTTCAGTGTGGGTGATCTTTTCACTGGTATTTGTATTTCTAAGGCTTGTGAAGATTAGAGTGAGCAGCTGTCTAATAGAACTCGTACAGTGGTGGAGCAGAGCTGCATCTGAGCAGCGCAAGAGATCATCACTGGCCGTGTGGGGCTACTCAATAGCTGAGATGTAGCTGGTGTTACTGAGATTTATTTTATTTAGATTGACCTGAGTTTATGTTGTAGTGGCTACCTTATTGGGTGATGAGGATCTAGTCATAGCTCAGCACAGTTTCTCAAAAAAGTTCACTGCAGAGCTAGGGAGATAGCTTGGCGGTCTAAGCACCTGCCTGGCAAGTGTAAGGACCAGGGTTCCATCCCGGTACTGCATGCCATGCCAGCAGGCCCTGGAACCTTGGGAGCACCTTGTGCGCCTTGCCCGCCACCAAAACCAGACGTGGCAGCTCAAGCCTGTAATCCCAGCACTGGGGGTTGGGGGTCGGAGGTTGAGATAGCAGGATCACTGCGAGTCTGAGCTGCCTAGTGAGGCCCTGAACCAAATAAGTAAATACATTTTATTTAAATTTCATTGCACGATTGAATCATTCCTGAAAAATTTCATTGGGCAAAGAAAAAAAATTGAATTTTTTTCTTTTTTTAACCACTTACAAATATGCATTATTTTACATTATTGATAAACATGTGTACAAGTATACAGTAAAAAGCTCTACATCTCTTGAAAGACCATATCACATTTCTTGATGAATGTGCATCCACATTCCACATTAGATGCATTTTTGCTGCAAAAATGTTTAAAAGATTTTAATATTTTGCTTATATATTCAATTTATAATTCCTATGTCCACTTTGCAATCACCCTTTTATTCTGCATCATTCACTGATAAATTCTAGGAGACTGGCCGAGTTCTTGACGCATAGCAGGGACTGAAATATTTGATGCGTGAATGAGTAAATCATGCATAGGAGGACATACTCTTGAAGTGGAAAATCTAACCTACAAATTGTTTTCAATTCCACCCTTTCTTATGGACCTTGATACAATAATTGAGGAAACAGGAGTGTTACATTATGAAGCTCCCTGCACCTTGTCGCTCATGGCTTCCAGTTCTCTAGCACCGTTCTGTCCTCTGGAGATTTTCATACCTGTCTTCAAAACGCTTGAGTGAGTTTAGACTGTTGGTTGGGCAGAAACCACATTATTTAATATACAAAATTTATGAACCGGGAAATTAAAAGGTAAAGCTCTAAACTGGTTGCTAGTGAAACCAACTAAAATTCAGATGGAAAGCTTCACTTAAGGATTAGGTTGCCAGTTAGTGCAGGACCCCTAGGGCTGGGACTACTGTGGCAGAGACCTTGCTCCTCGGCCCCAAGACCCCGCCCCTTGGCCCAGATACCCCGCCCCTTCACTCTGAGACCCCGCCCCCGCCCCAGACCCCGCCCTCCTCCAGAGGCCCCGCCCCAGGCCCCGCCCCACCGCCGCGGTTGCCATAGGAACCGGGAGAGCACCATGGCTGCCGCCGGCCAGGCAGAAGAGTGTTTAGCGCCGCCGGTGGCAGCCTGGAGCAAGCCGTCAGCAGCTTCGCCCAAACTGGCCGCCCTGACCAGCAGGAAGCTGGGGAAGTGTGTTGTCTATCCGCCTCCTCCGAAGAACTCCCGCGTGTCCCGTTCCGTTCTCCGCTGGCTCCAGGGCCTCAACCTCAGCTTCTTCCCCAGGAACATCAGCAGGTGCTGCGAGCGGCCCACCCCGCGGCGCTGGCCGGCCGCCCTCCCCGCCGCTGGTGGGCCCAGACGGCTGCCTCGCGGTCCCCACCCGGGCCGGGCCGGTCCCCGCTCGGAACTCCCAGCGGCCTCCTCACACACGAACTCGCAGGAGTTTAAAGAAGGCTTAAAGGCTTAAGAAGTAGACCATGAAACACGTCGCTCATTTAATTAACAAATCACTGAATTGTAGACTTACACTAATATCAAATTCTTTAGTATTACAAAAATATAAAATAGTCAAGGCTCTTTCTGTAGGGAGCTTGCTTAGTTACTGAAGATTGATCTGCCCTCCCACTGAGATGACATCTGGTTTGAGAGCTATCAGTGATTTCAGAAACTTGCTATTTAAGAATGGCCTCCCAGAAGGTAACTGACAGTTAATATTTGCTCTGAGAAAGTAAACTAAATTTTGCAAATATTAAGGCCACACATCTTTTGCAGAAAGCACTCTGGTTTTACTGATACTGACTGATGTTAGAGACACCATACAAAGATGCCCCTGAAACTTTCCGTTGGCTTGAGAATCACCTGCGGATCTTGTTCAAATTCAGATGTGGGTTCCTTAAAAGGACACCAAGCGGGGCATGGTTGCACATGTCTGTAATCCCAGCACTCGGGAGGCTGAGGCAGAAGAATCATTGCGAGTTGGAGATCAGCTTGGACTACAAAGTGAGTTCAAGTCCAGCCTGAACTGCATAGCATGACTCTGTCTCAAAAAGACAAAACAAAACAAAAACACCAGAGCCTTTGTTGTGCATATAATCTCATCAAAATGTTAAATATATAGTACTTTTCCAGAGCAGTGATCCAACAAAACAAATTTTACAGTGTAGTTTTGGTCAGTGTGGAATATTAGATTGGTTTTCATTATATAAACTGTATTATTAACTAAACCTTATTTCCTTATTGCTATGGATCAGAGATTTTTCAAATGGCTTCCTGATTGCAGAAATATTCTGTATATATTATCCTTGGGACCTTAAATTATCATACTTTGAAAATGGAACCTCTTTAAAAGTCAAGTTGGATAACTGGGCACAATTAGAGAAGGTAAATTTGCAACCGTTTACTGTTAAATGTGTTTTAAAAAGTCTGTTCTGAATTTCATGGATAGTTACATGTGTGCGTGATTGTATGGTAAGATGCAGTGCTAGGGAGTGGCAGCTTATTCCCCTGTATGGAAAGAAGGTTTAAATTTAGCTCTTGTTATGTCCTGAATCACCTATAAAAATGAGTATATTCACTTCAGTTAGTATGAGATATGATGGTTTCTCTTGCTAAATGTATTATTTTTTGATAATTGACATGTTAATAGGAAATTAGTTGAGATACAAGAGGACTTAATCATAGTAAGTTGGTGATTTCTGTGTAATATTTTATGATGAAAATGTCTTCTTTCTATTAAAGTTTCTAGCGAAAAAGAAACTTAAATTACCTAAAGAACTAATCCATGGAACAATTCATTGTAAACCTGGAGTACCTGAAATATTGATACAAGAAGTTTATACTTTGTTAACACACCGAGAGTAAGTTATTTCAAATTTTCTAGCAATACAATCTGACATTTTGTTAATACAAATCTCATTACCAAAAATGTGCCTTGTCAATGATATTTCTTGTTTACAGAATTAAAAGTATCCAGGAGGACATCGTGAATTTCACAGACTATAGTTACCAGATGCATTTACCTATGGTTTCCAGGTCTACAGCTTCAAAGTTTATTAAAGATAACATTAGGTTAACGGAATTAAAAAGCAATCCCAACATACTCAGCAATGAACTTAAAGCAGAGTTCCTCTTACTTTTGCAAATGTTGCAAAGAAAAATAAGCAGAAAATTGAATCCCGGTAAGTTTTCCTTAGAAAAAGCTAAATTCTTCCAAACATAATGAGGCAAATCAAGCACGGATGAAAGAAAAGTATTCTATGGACCTGTTGCTGCCTTCAGCCTCTGGCTTAATGGGAAGAAGTTTGTCACAGCAGAATGGTTTATTATTGTTGGAGTGGCTTTTATTTTTATTATTTATTTATTTATTCATTTATTTGTTTTTTGTGGAATCGGGGATTGAACTCAGAGGCTTGCACTTGTGAGGGAAGCGTTTTTTCTACTGAGCCATCTACGTGGCCCCTTTAATTTATTTTTAAAATGAAATCACAGGTTAACATAGGATATATTTTGTTTTAGAAAAAAAGTTTGCCAATTTATTAAAGCAAGCTCTTATTGATATAAGTTCATACATTGACTGAAGTAACTCAAGAGGATAGGCATGTTTCAGAATATAAATCCTTTTGAGGGGAAAGCTGGATTACCATGATTCATGCTTTCTAGAGACTGGCCAGTGTCCTCTTTAGCATAGCATCCTTGTCATGTGGGTGGTGGGTGAGTTGGAGCAACTTGTGGCCTTTCTAGAGGTTTCATTGAAATAATTACCAAAGCACCCAAAACACTTGTCATCCTCCGAGACTGAAAGAATCATCCCCTTTTATGTTTCCTAGTGATCTGTTTCATGTCTTGGAATCTTATTCTGCTTGACTCCAGACAACTAAAGAACCCATCATTTTCTGAGTTTTCAAAACATTCAGAAGATGAGGCAGACATAGATTAGGATTTCTCTCCCTTCTGAATTCTGTTTTCTGAAAAAGCATGTTCTACCTGGTCTGTGGAAAGAAAGAAAAGGACCAACTTTATCTCCTACTCTATTCTGCCTCAAATTGAGAGAGATAACTTGGATTCTAACCTTCCTTACTCTTTTCGTTAATCTCCTATTTTCTTGTTTTTCTTCCCTTATTGATTCAGATTTCTGGCTCTGACTGTAATTTGTAAATGAAGAATTCATGTTATTAGTCCTTCTGTGTAATTTATGTTGTAACTTTGTATGTTTTGCAACATTGGCACTTTACTATATGTTACACATGCAAGTGGTCATGTATAATGCATACATATATGATTAGAAAAGCCTAATGACACTGAATAGAGTATCTAATGGGGTTTAAGAAAGAGTATTACTTCATGTCCTTCTCTGGCCAACTCACTGTACTGTCCTCCAAAAGTACTGTTTTGCTGACTTGGTTTGTAATTTCTGGATTAAAATATTGGTTTATCTGTGCATATAATTTATCTGTTATCCTTCATTTCATACTTTCCTCATTTGATTGATCTTATTGAACTTGGTGGTCAGCAAAATAGGTCCCCAGATTATATCAAATCTCTGAAACCTGTGGCTATGTAACATTCTATCACAAAGGAGTCTTTGTAGAAAAAAATGTAAGTATGGACTTTAGGCTAGAAGTGTCAGCTGGACGATTCAGATGAGCCTAGTCTAATCACATGAGCCCTCACAAGCAAAGATCTTTCTGCAACTGGAATTTGAAAGATTCAGAAAAAGAGAGGTTTGAAGTATAGCCTGTAGGGTATCGACCTGTTCTTGCCGTGGGGAGCTACAAAAGGCATGTGGCCTGGCTTCTAGGATCAAAGAACTACACTTGGCAGACACCAGCGAAGAAACATGAATCCCAGTGCCACAAGTGTGAGGGTTTGCCATCTGCCAAACACTCTGAGTGAGCTTGCAGGGGGATTCATCCTCCAAGCTACCAGAAAAAAAAAAAAATGAAGCCCTGCCAATGCTTTGATTTTAGCCTGAAAGAATTTAAATAGAGAACCCAGACATCTGTACTGAGATCAAATGGCTATTGTCATATTGGTAAGATTCATAATGACTTTGTTTGGCCAGAATGATTGAACATGAAATTTGGAGTTAGACTACTTCCACTATGGCATTCTAAACTTATTTTCCTTGATTTAAATTGATGAAGTGGAGTTTTTCACTTCTAAGCTCAGTTCATTTTCAATTCATATGGAAA